CAGTGCCGGCAGCTCCCCCCCATCCACCTGCTGCTGCCCAGGTGCCGACCCCGACCCCATTCCCGCACCAGCGACGGCCGGGCTGAGGACACGCAGTGGGGGGCGCCCTTCCCGGGCGCAGTCCAGCTTCCCGTCCACCTCACACTGTCGCATGGGCCTTCGTCGCCGCTGAAAACTTCCTTTTTTCAGGCGAGGCGACCCTTGGGTGACCTCACAGATTACAAGGACCTTGTCAGATTACAACCCCTTATTTATTTTTAGTTTTTACACCTACAGCCCGTGGTCTTCCTGGGTGGTCTCTCATCCAAGTACTGACCAGGCCCGACCCTGCTTAGCTTCCGAGATCAGGCGGCATCGGGCTTGTTCAGGGCAGTGTGGCCACAGACACCGCTGAAAACTTAATAATGTCTTACTGTCGCACACTGGTACGTTCAAATGTCCAGTTGTCTCAAACGCTGACGCTGATGGGAGTGAGACTCGGGACAGGCCCCTCCCGTCTGGGCGACCTGTCTGTCCTCTCTCCACGGCCTCCCCCTGCCGTGTGTTTGTTGGTCACATGGGCCGTTTACCCGGTGGCCGCCGTGTCCCCGACGTGCCACGCCTCGTCCCTCAGCCTCTGCAGCTCTGGGCCGCTGGGCGGCCCCGCCAGACTTTGGGTTCCCGCATGCGGGTGGCAGCGTCCGTGAGGCCTAGCCGGCGGAGTGGAAACGCCCTGCTCTCCAGAGGGCCGCCCCGGCGCAGGCGGCTGGCAGGGGACCCCTCCGCTCTCACTCGGCCGCCTGCCAAGGAAGCGACGCGCGTGGGCAGAGGCGGCGCCTCCGTGATGTTGGGGAGGCGGTTTCGTTATCAGGGCGTCTACATACACCGTCTCGGTCCAAGGGCGCGCTCCCACCCTCGGGGGGCGAGTGACTCAGACTGGCCGTGCTCCTGCCTGTTCGGTGGTGAGGGGTGGTCAGTCCCCGGCGATGAGGGTGACGCACATCCACAGCGAGGGTCTCGCGCCCGTAATTTTCTAATAATACCTGGCTGTGAGGACACAGTGACCGTTAGCATCAGGTCCTGTTTTGGCTCACACGGTGGGCACACACCCCCAGAGTAAGCTGGCTCTGTTACCGCCGAGTTGCAGGCCGGCCTCCCAGAGGCCCGGCCGCCACTGGCCGAGATGTGTGGCTCCGCAGGAGGGTGTCCCGCTCGGCCGTGGTCACACTGTCCCTCGGCCAAACCCTCACGAGATGTGACTCACGACAAAACAGCTGGAAGCGACTGTCCCAGCTCACGCGGGGCGGAGGCCAAAGCTGCCACGCCCCCAGCAGGGCCTCCAGCTGCCCCCTCCCTGAGGGTGAGGCGCCTCCGAGGAGGACGCAGGCAGCCCCGGACAGCCCGCCCATCTGCCGCAGCCTGTCGTCACCCACCCTAGATTCTGTCGCTCATGCAAGTGTTGCAATTGACTGAAGTACAGAAATGGGTCCCTGAGCAGACAGGAGACTCCCCAGGGACTTTGACAAGACCTTGCCAGGAGCCACACTGCGTTTCAGAGTGTGTCCAGCCCTGTCAAACGTGTCCACAAACCACGCATATCCTTAAAACGGAAATGCTCTCTCCCGGGACCAGCTGACTTTCTGGGGTCTTCCCGTTCCTCTAAACTCGGCTGAAAGAGGCAGATAAGGCGATGCCACCTTCCTCTGGCTGGACCCAAGTGGCCTCATCGGCCGGCGACACCTGGGCATGTGAGACAGGCGTTTCCGCCTGGAAATGGGCCCCCGGGCTCTGCCCCCTGACGTCACGGGAAGGAGATGCTGAACGAAGAACCCATTTCTCACGATGTCCCCTCCAAGGAGCTCCCCCTTCCTGGGCCACGAGCAGGCGGACCCTCCCTGGCCAGCGGACCCGGGGTTTGCACTGTAGAGCGGCTGCGCCACTGGAAGGCAGGCTGGGCGTGGCAGCAGGCCCAGGCCACCCAGCGGGGTCCCCGGCCCAGGCCACCCAGCGGGGTCCCAAGTCCCAGGTGAGCGGAGAACACGGGGGCGCTTCAGAACCAGGCGGTCTGAGCTCGAGCCCCGACTCCGCACCTGGCCGAGCACTCGCCAACCTCCAGGCCTCAGTTTCCCCATTCGTGGCACTGGACTAACGAGGACTCCTGGGGGCTGTGGGGAGGGTCTGTGCGGGCCCAGGCAGAGTCCCCGGCGGGGAGAGTGTCCACGTCCACCTGTGAGCAGCGGCCGCTCCAGGCAGCCGATGGCAGAGGGGACGGGCCACAGCTCGGCCACGCCCGGGGACAGGAGCCACAGCCTGAACAGAGATACACGGACTAGAGGAGCCTGGAGCCACTCAGGTCCCGCACGCGACTGGAACAGGTGGGAAGACGCCCACCCTGAGACCCACGGGCAGCCCCGGCCCGCCTCTCGGGGACTCGGGGCTGCACTGCGCCCGGCCTCACCCCGCGCGTCCCCACCGGCGGTCACTCTCGGACCGAACACCCCGAAGGCTGATGGACAGCCGGGGGCGGGGGGGTCTGCCCTCCCCACGCCCCAAACACCTGCTCCAGTCCCCGGGCACCCCGAAGGCTGATGGACAGCCGGGGGGCGGGGTGTCTGCGCTCCCCACGCCCCAAACACCTGCTCCCTCCAGGAGCCC